TCAGATTTACTTTTCTGCTCTTGTCATCAGCTATATCACTTGTATCCCAGCACTGGATTTTAGTCTGGCTCTTGATCTGGTCAAATCTAGTTTCATTGGCATCTGCTACCTCTTCAGGGCAACGTCCTTTTCCAAATATTCCATTCAGCATATTTAGTGATGCAATCCAGACAATCTTTGGCTCTAATATTTCTTTGGCAACTGTTCTCACAATCTCATTCACACTATTTGAGAATCCCGATTTATTAAATCTTCATTTTCGTCAACAACAACGGATTTGTGGTGATGAAAACAAAGTGCAGATTTCAGGATGGATAATTGCATTGAGCAATGCACTGGTAAACAAACTTGGAAAGAAGAGGGTTGAAACTTTATTCTCTGAAAATGAACTTGCACGAGAGCCAGATGAAAAGGCAAAAGTTGATCTTCTTGCTGGAAAGCTTGACAAGCTGGCTGGCTGCTTGAAACTATCAACATTTGATGAGAAGGGGGGTTATAAAGGAAAATTACTCCCTCTATCACACAGCAAGATAGAACCAGCTTATGTCATTTGCCCCCCTTCATTTGCATGTGAAACTCAGAGTTGTAGTCCAAGATCATTGCGTCAATCTACCAAAAGTAGTGACATACCATTGGTTACCTTGATCAAAGAGCAGAGAGTATACCAGGATGTCCCTGTGCTTACAGGAAAGTGTCCAAACTGTAAAACATTATACACAGCCGATCATGAAAGATTTGAAGATACATCAACTATTCAAAATACTTTGAAACGAGTCTATCTTAACTCAGCCAAATATTTGAAAATTGGCCAATCAATCTGGGCTGAGCGTGGATTTGCAATGGCAGCTATAAATGCTATGTATAACTTTCATGCTTCAGCACCTGCTTTCTCAGAGTACTGGAATAATACATATGGAACAAAAGAAATTTCAATTTCACGAGCTCATGTCTGGCAAGCATTTGTTCAACAATCTGTTTGCACAATTGCTGAAGAATCTGGAATTGATGCTGAATTTGATGATGGATTGAATATCAAAGAAGTTACTACTCAGGCATTTTCACTCTTGGGGGAAGATGGAGTCATCAGAGCTTCAGAAGGACATGCATGTGATGAATGTACTCAAAAACGCAAAGATACAAGTGATGTGGTTTTCAATAATCCAGCAGCAGTTGTTGGTGTTGATGCCACAGATGATGATATTCCTGCTTTGGCAGCAGCTCCTGAAGAAATGGAAGTTGATGCACCTCAGGTCACTTCAGATAATGAGATGGATACTGATGATATCCCAAACATAAAAATGGTTGTTCTTGATGGTATAGTTATGGGTCCTCAGGTAAATGACTTTTACATTTTGTTCATGGAGTTTGTTTGTTCACAATGATTTTTTCTAGCACTGTGCATATGAGAATTGCACTAATGACCTCTCTAACTCTCGTGGTGGATCTCTATGTGATATACATCACATAATGCTTGCTACTCAATGCTTGGTCCGTGACTGTAATAACCGAAGAGTAGAAAGAACACTTGCATGTGAACAGCACCAACCACAGTGGCGTAAACATACAAAGAACAGCAAACACCACAACCAGGCTGGAGTTCGCCGGATGTTACAACGCCCTGGGGAGAATAATCCTTGGGAGCCCCGTCGCAGAGGACCAAATCCCCAACAACATGATCAACCAAATGAAGAACCACAGCCACCTCCCAATTACTTTCGTGCTGCTAGATTCTACTGTGTTGAAACTATTTGTGCACCTTGTGGTGTTGTTATTGCATGGGCCAAGTTTCCAAAATCAGAATCACCAACCAATATTTTGAACTTTCTAGCAAAGGTTTATCCAACAGAAGAATCAAGGCCTGATTATATCTGTATTGATAAAGGTTGTCAAGTGCTTGCAACAGCAGTAGCAAATGGAAGTTGGGAGATTTGGAAAAAGACTACTAGATTTATTGTGGATGCCTATCACTATATCAATCATCGAGTGGCAGACTTCCTATGTCGGAAATACTGTAATCCTTCACCTGGAGATGGATCTGCTCCAAATCTTGTAGTTATGGCCTATGATAAGAATGGACGACCATATTTGAAGCGAGCTTTCAATACACAGGTAATCAATGATTTATTTTCATCAAATATCAGCTCAATACTATAAATCTTTTAGGTTTGCAAACAACTCAATGCATGGCTTGGTGGTTATCAATCAATTCTCAAACGTATGACACCAGGAAATTTTAACTGGTTTTTACACACCATGTTATTCTATCACACAAAGTATGTCATCCACAAACAGGAGATGAAGAAATCAGATGGAGATGAAGAGGAAAACTTGGGTTTAGATGAAGATGTTCAAGATGATGAGGATAACTAATAACAGTGAAGAGAAATGTGCAATCTTAGTGTGTGCAGAAGTGTATATTAGTGTACTACAGTAAAGAGAAGTGTGCAGAAGTGTATACTAGTGTAAATGTATGTAGAAAAGAGAAAAATTGTATCTGTTGTATCTATTTATGGTGGATTGTGATCTTAATCCTGCGGAATCCACCGGACTCCACTGGATTCCTGCGGATTCCGGTGGATTCCACTGGATTCCAGTCCCATTCCTGCGGATTCCGCTGGAGTCCGGTCCCATTCCACCGGAATCCACAGGAATGACCGGAGTCCGACAGGAATAGGTAGGGCACAATAAAGTACTGAGAATTTGGATCATATATTATCCAATACATCTTCAATGCCATGAAGAAACAAGTTGCAGTTATACCTGGGGAAGGAGATTTCTGATATTTCAAGCAACAAATCTCTTCTTAGCCCTATGCCAGGTAAGCAACATTATGTCAAAAAGCATTTTATTGACTGAATACCATAAGGTGGCATGAAACTCAGCCATGGACTGAGATTTCCAATTCCCCTGCATACTATTTTGAATTCTGTGTGACACTTTTGAATACCTCCTTTCTTGAATTCTACACAAGATACACTGGCATGTATTTTGTGTATTTGCATTAAAGCTTGTCAAGTTTACAGAAAAGAGACAACCCCATTGAGTGATGCCTTGGCCCTCTCTGCTTCTAAGTCCTGCTCTGAAAGCTGATTGAAGAAATCTGTTGTGGTCTGAAACCCATAATCAACCCAACAGATGGTACCCCAAGTGATGTACTGTGTGAAGGAATAGTGTGTTTCTCCCTGCTAGATGGGAGTGTTGGAGTGTGTGACCATGGATGATGGGAGGAGAATTGTTGAGTCTGGCAGAAATTCTATCACCAGCTGAAGCTCCCAAAGAACTAAGTGGGCTTAGGGAGGTGAGGGCACAAAGGCTATAGGGCAGGTTGGTGTGGTCTTTGTGATGGTAGCAGACAGTTCACAGGCCAAAGTTGAAGCATCAGATGGCAAAGATGCTGTTATTGAAGGTTCAATGGAGGGTTTTTTCATGGTCCAAAAGCTGCTGGAGGTGGTCAGCATAATAGGAATAGAGACATGGTGCCCATGCTGCTAGGATGGCTGGAGCTTGTTAGACCTATGGGGCAGATCATGCTGAGAGGTATGTACTTGCCTGATTGATGGCTGGCAAGTTGATCCATTGCTTTGTTCCTCAGAAGGGACTCCAAAGCCTCTGCCTCAGAAGCTTTGTGGCAACGTACCCCTGGATGTGTTTGCCCCCCACTATAGGATATGTCAACATTCCTCACCAGGTACCTACCCTGACTGAGCTCCTGCAAAGGCCAGAGGATTGGTGCTGCCACAGAGGTCTTGAGGAATCAAATTTGGCAGAGGGCCCTGCCAAATTGATCAAACAATTCCGCGGAATCACCCAGAAGGAATGCTCACAGAACAAGACAGAACAGAATTCCTGATGCCCAAATCGAGTGTCAGCATCCTTTAATCTGGTTTCTTCCAATATTCCAACACAGTTTGTAGTTGCATGCTGACTGGTCCTTCTTGGCCAGCACACGCTCAGCCTTCCTCTTTGCCTTGTGATTTTCTTTGCTCTGGTGCTTGGCATCCATTGTTTGGCTAGTTTGTGGAGGAGTTGCATCAGGGTTGCTGGCAATGAGAGGGGAAATGAATTCTGAGAAGCTGCTGGGGCCAAGGTGCTCAGGTATTTTGGGAAGTGGCAAAGGCATAAGTGTCAGAGAGTTACCTGGCATGGGGAGTGTGGACCAAGGGGAGTTGCTGCAGAAAATTGTGATGCCTTCTTTGTCAAACTCCAATCCATCTGGAAAAGTATGGAATCCATCCCCCATTTCATGGAATCTACCCCCCTTCCATGGAGTCCATATGGAATAACCCAGGGAGGGTAAAGTACTGTGTGGAGCTTTGATTTTGAGAGGCCCAGGAGCTGTAGGAATGCAAAAGGATGTCTATGCAGCTGGAAATCTCCTCAATGTAGTTGTCTGTCAAGCCAGCAACCTTATCCAGGTTAAATGTGTCAACATCAGGTAAAGCTTTGTCTGATGGTAGAAGAGCACAACCCTTCTTTTTTAGGTCCTCCTGCAAGAAGGCACTTTGCTCTGGTGTGAGTTTACATACAGAATCTTCATATCAAGTTTCCACTGGGCACGAACCCATGCATTCAGGATCTGGACCAACCCAAATGCAATCTGAGCATCTTGATTAAATTTGTTATTTTTCTTGTCCTCATCAGAGACAGCCTTTACCAGAGTTGGCCTTATGCCTTTAAAGCGAAACTCCTTCAGTTCAGAGGTCATTGACCCAATGGTTGCAATTGCATTATTTCTTGTTGCCTAGACCTAATCTCTGGTAAGTTGAAATAAAGGAAAATGGAATAATCACCTACCTTAGTAAGTGTATCCTCTACATCAATGTCTGAGTGTTTACTCAGATCAATGAAATCACTATTACCAGATATCTTCATTGTGGCAATTAGTCAGAACTGCATAGCAATGGTTGGCTCAAACAAGGTAAGAATCTGGAAAGAGTCCAGTCATCAGTACAAATACAAAAATACTGGTCAGTCTGCAATATCCAACAGATTATTAGATATTGCAAATATCACTCCCAGATAATATCCCCAAGCATTTTCATTTTCATGGAGACTTGTTCCAATATCTTTGCTAAATGTTTCGCAGGCAAGAGGGAGAGGAGATCTGAGCTTGGAAATATATGGATACTCCTTATGGGCTTTGTCAAGAATATATGTGATTCATCTTGTCAAGGCATTAAGAATGGCACAAAATTTCCTTGGTCAGGTTGACTTGGTGGACCATTCTTCTGTGTTTTGACGAACCTCTGTGCAGTACTTCTGAAATGATTCTGCCCAATTGTCATGTTCTACACCATCAATGATTGTCTTGTCAGGATTTGCAAATGCAAAGGAACTCAGGTCCCAGGAAACCATAAAGTAATTGAGTGTCTGGACTGCTGTGTTCTTTGATGTCCAAAATTGATTTGATGTTCTGTGCAGCAGGGGGAAAGGCAATGTATTTATAAGAATCCCTAGCAAGGTCCATAAAGATGGAAAGCCAACACAGAACAGTCAGCCGCCATTCAGTCAACTTGTTGAAGTTGATCAGCTTGAGTTTTTCGAACATAGGGATTGTTATCAGATCCACAAATATGAAAAGAAGACGTGGGATTTTGACCACACATCTCAGTTAAGTTTGCATCTCATTGTCTGAACACTTGAGTTGAGCTTGCAGGAACGTAAAACCTGTTTCCATTGTCATCCCACGAATGGATTTCAAGATCATGTAGAGAAAGACTTGTGGTGTGTCAGGGAGGTGGAAATGGATGGGATTCCGGGAGTAATAGGTTTTTATCTTCTCCCTTCTTGGGTCTTGCATAACTTCATGAGTCTGCCAGATAATTAATATTCTCTCACCTGTATCAATCAGAATGGTGGCCCACTGACCGACATTCCAGAGTTCCACTTCCAATTGTGTAACTTTCTCTCTTGCCACAATAATGTTAGGGGTATCATGATCACTAGTAACCTTTGGCAGTTCAAACACCTCAATGCTTCTGGGATTGGGAATAAACCAAACACGAAAATGGTCACGCTCTACAAACACCTCGACAACAAAATCAAGCAACATGCACAGGCTTATTGTGCTGCCTGGCGTGCTTTAGGAGTCCTTGACCTGAACAGCTCATGGTCTACCTTGCTGCATGAACTTAAGGACAAGGATATCTGTGGACCAGGAAAAGAGGTGAACAAGGCATCAAACAACTGGCACGAACCTTCCTGGATATGGCTTGCCACACATGACTGGATCCAACCAGACAGACCAGGAAGCCAAGTTCACTGACAGTATGCATGTCAAATAGGCAAAGGCAAGGGCACAGATGATGAGGTGGAAAGAAGAGTTTTTATTGGTTCAGGAAGAAATGAGGCATGTTATTGAATATCTCAACTGGAGGGCAGCATGGTGGCATGAATGGAGTTCCTTAAGAACTCACACTGATGCTACGGTATCAAGCAGGATCTCTGGTTACACTAATAAGCAAGCAGCTATATGTAGTCGCATTGCTGAGCAGTGTGCCTGATACTGGCTTCCATGTCTGGGAAGCAAAGGTATCACTCCATCAAGGGCTTCTCATTTTCCGACTGTATTGAACCTTCCTCTGGTTGTTCCGCCAAGTTCAAATATAGATAATGAGGCTGAGGTAGACCTTGAAGTTGCTGAGAAGGATGATAGTGAGGATGAGATGTATCTGGATGATGCTGGAGATGAGGACTTGGACTTAGATGACTAGGCTTGTTTTGTAGATGTCTGGTATCATTGGTGAAAGTCCACTCAAACCACTCAAAAGCAAGAAATGGTTGGACTGGCTGGAATTTTGTGTCCATTAGACTTCTGCTGGACTTCCTCTGGATTTCCAATGGAAACAAAGGCAGGAGTAGAAAACTTACTAACTTGTTAGTCTGCTGGACTTCTGACAGACTTCTCAGAAAAAAAAAGGTACAGGAGAGTGTTGACTGTCCACTTTGCATTTTTTATTTACAAACAGAGTTTATATACATCACAAAAATCACTTTTGTTTTGGGAAAAGCTCACATGTTAGCCTTTTCTCAGGCTGTCACAGCACATCACAGCACATCACAGGTAACCTCAGGGCACCCTGAGGTGCACTGGGATGCCCTGGCAAAGCCTGGCACACACTTGACTGATGAGCCCAGTGAAATAGATAATAATCAACATAAACTAAGCATAATTTAATATACAAGTTACACCTTACTAATATAATTGTGTTGAGACAATTACTGCACCTTGTGGTGTTGTTATTGCTTGGGCTAAATTTCCCAAGTCAGAATACCCCACAAATATTTTTAACTTTTTGGAATCAGTTTACTCTACAGCTGAATCACATCCAGGTTACATCTATATTGATGAGGCTTGTCTATTATTACGAACAGCAATAAGCAATGGAAGCTGGGACAGAATTTGGAAACATACAACTTGGTTCATTGTTGATAGTACCACTATATTAATCACTGTGTTGGTGATTATATTTGTTGAAAATGGTGTAATCCTGCACCATTGAATGGATCAGCTCCAAACCTTGTTGTTGTTGAAAAAGACAAACATGGTCGATCATACTACAAGCAACCATTCAACACACAGGTAAGTTTGAGTTAAAGTGTGATGAAATACAGTTGAGTGCAAAAAGAATGAAGGTTGGTTCATTTTTCTGGTTCTTTCTAAGAATCTATTGTACCTCAAATGTATTTGTGTATTCTTTTACATTATGTAGTTGTGTTACACTTCCCTTGGTATGGACTAATTTCAGTGAAAGCTGGAGCCTTGAGAAGGTTTTTATTCTGGAGGCCATTTTTGGCATCTGAAAAAAAAAATATGTGTTAACTGGAGAGGTAGCCAGAACATACCTCTGGTCAACCTGAATAAGCCTATCAAAGAATTAGTTAAAAATACTGAGTGGTTATGCTTGTAGAGCCTCCAGAAAATGGTCATTTTGTGCTATTTTGGTCTTTTTTGGCCTGTTTTAGACAAAACAAGCCATTTTCCAAAGCCTCTACAGACCTAACTGCTCAGTATTTTTGACTAATTCTTTGATAGGCTTATTCAGGTTGACCAGAGGTATGTTCTGGCTACCTCTCCAGTTAACACATATTTTTTTTTTCAGATGCCAAAAATGGCCTCCAGAATAAAAACCTTCTCAAGGCTCCAGCTTTCACTGAAATTAGTCCATACCAAGGGAAGTGTAACACAACTACATAATGTAAAAGAATACACAAATACATTTGAGGTACAATAGATTCTTAGAAAGAACCAGAAAAATGAACCAACCTTCATTCTTTTTGCACTCAACTGTACAAGAATTAATGAATTTTAAAACAGGCCTGTGAACAGTTAAATGCCTAGATAGGTGGATTTGAGTCTATCCTGAAGAGGATGACACAAGGCAATTTTGACTGGTTCTTGCATTCTATGTTGTTTCCAATATGTGATGGAAAAGCAGATGAAGAGACCATATATGGAAGAGGAGAAAGATGTTGACTCAGATTTTGAAGATGACACCTAAGGTAAGATAGTCACATGACCTTAGTTAACAGTCACATGATCTGAACCTAGCTCTAGGCATCTGTAATAGTAAATTGTATAGTAGGAGTCCAGTAGGAGTTCAGTATGAATCCAGTATCTAGGCAATGTATTCACTTTCTGGTATTCTGTTAAAGTCCAGTAGGAGTCCAACAGGTGGAAAATGCCTTTTTTGGAAGAATTGTTGAAATCCAGTGGGAATCCAGTAGGAATCTTACTGGAGTCCTGGAGTATGACTTCTGATGTCCTGTGCATCCAATTTGAATACCTCATTTGCTGAAGCACTCAATGCTTATGGCAATCACTTGCAGCTGTGGTTGAACATATCTCTCACCACTGTCACTAGCAGACCTATCAGACACTGACTCTCACAAAATGTCGAGGCTGAAGGTTGAAGCTCAACATCCCTGTTCCTACCTTGGTGGTCGAAATGTGATGTGATGTTCTATGTTAACCTCTGATAAGGGGCCAGCCATGCACAGTCAGCAGAAACATTGCCTGTCACATGTGCTTTCAGCTTTCAAGTAAGTGCTCCAGATTTCTCATTGGCAAATGTTTTTCAGGACAAAATAAATTTGTTTTTAATGATACTCTAATACCCCTTTGTAGATGATCCATAAAAAATGTTCAACCACCAACGTTGAAGGCATATTTACCATTTCATTTCCAAATCAGGGCTGGACAAATTTGTTTTGTATGGTGACCTGCTGACCAGGTTGGGCAGTTCCAGAATAATAGAGCAAGACAAAACTTGATAGAATTGACAGAAAACCCACAGACCAACTGCAGGCTATAAATTAAATTTGGATAGAGAAAGTGTCAACACTGTCCAAATCTTTTACCATGGCACAACAACCACTTTGTCCATATACAACTACCACTGACATCAAACTCTCCCTTGCTGGTGTGTTTTCAATGCAATTCAACAGTTGTGGGCTTGAGGCCAACTATGCCCCTGCATGGATTGCTACTCTCCAAGGCACATGTGCCTTCTTGAATCGCCTCTCCATTGCAATGGAGCCATTCTTATCTGTTCCTGGTGATACGGATGAAACCATCTCACCCGTATAAAATTCAATTTTAACGATTTTACCGATAAAAGGTCATCTCTAATAAATACACTACATACAATTGCAATGATACAAAGAGTCAATGTGCATACCCGGCGCAGTTGACTAAAAATGCAAATGCGTGGAATCTGAAAATAGGACAAGGCTTTGGAACTGGCAGCAGTACGCGTCGTGACATTATACTTGGATCCTATCTAAGATTCACCTACCATGAAATAGAGCACGAAGAGGTTCTAGAGTAAACACCCAACGCAGGGAGAAGAATTGCATTACTACCAAAGGGTTTAGAAACACATAATGGATTTATTGTGAAAACTCGTGCTTATACAAGAAATACAGAAAAGACGACATAGATGCTTAAACGGCATGTCTGAAACATGGAAAGACTAAACTACACCTAGGTAGTAAACGTATGAAGACTTAGCGTGGCTCCCGGCCATTCAGAAAGTCATGTACGGCAGTTCCCGCGTACGCATCAAAGACTGATGCGTCTGAACGTCACAAGTACAAACATGAGAAAAAGACACATTCTATTATATGAAATATAATAAGAACCCCCTGACAATTAAGAAAGACATTTGAAAACACCTTCAGAGTGTCTCCCGACCTCCGTAATGAAAAGACGAGCCAAGACAAGGCATTTTAATTAAAAACTCGGAAGCGACGGAAGGCCGAAGACTATTGGTAAATGCGTACGCATGCGCATCAACGCATCAGGAAACGTTAATCATTTTGTGATGTCATCTGTCAAACCGGTAAACCGGGCCATAGAAAGAAACACGCGAGATCATGCCAAGCTAAGAATAGCTACGTCGGCTAACTCTGCGTACGCATCAAACACTTGATGTGTTTGAAAATGAAAGACGCGACACTACAAAATCTGTAGTGTTCACAGAGATAGACTACAAAATATACCACACGTTCATTAAATTTCATATTTGTAATTCGGACCGAAGTATCCCGCATTAAAACACATGTAAAACATAGATAGGGGTTCCTGGAGTATATAAGGAGCGCGCTGGCAGGTCAAAAGGGAAGCAATCGTCCCCCGTTGACCAGCTAGTTGCACTCCAAGTAGAGACTTAGGAGGTGGACAGTTGTAATCAATTAAAGGAGATTTCTTCGTGGTCAAGAAAAGTACAGTGTGAACGAAGCCAGCGTGCTTGGGAGTCAACTTGCTTGGAGACTTTTGAATAAGAGGTTTTAAGGACACAGTATCATTTTAGACGAGACAGCGTACTCGTACCCTTGGTTTTGGAGCGTAGTGACATAATAAAAACTCACGGGAGTCATAAAAGTCAATTAAAGTCGTGTTTTGTGTTAATTAAAGAAACTGTGATCAAAGAACTTTGCATTTAAGAGACCAAGTTCCCAGAAAGATATACTTTGTTCTATTGAACTATTCTAAACCACGCCTTATAATAAAAACCCAATTTTGAACGAAAACTCTTGAGACTTGAACCTAAGAAGACAAAAGTGGTATTTCTTAATACCAAAGGCCCTCGAACTCTTGCACCGAGATTGTGATAGTGTGTGTGTGTGTGTGTGAGTGAGTGTTAGGTGTTTAGGGTTTTCCCCCGACGCGCTTGATCCTTGTTTGCGTGTTTCGCACTTTCACGTTCATCCCCGTGCAAAGCGTATCACTGGGGGGATGATAAACAGACTGGAACTGGAATTGGGTCACAAGAATTTGGAGGAAAGAAAAATCACTCTGCAGAAATCAGCAAGCAACCCTCCAGTGGGTTCACATCATTCTGACAGGCTCCCTGTCCTGGCTAGTATGGCTCATTCAATGGAAGAGCTATCTATGCAAAAAACACAGAGAGAGTTAGATAAGTTACAAGGAAAAATCAAGCAGAAAGAATTGAAGAGTAGGGGGTTCTCTCTCTCTATTCCATTGAAGATATGCTGATGTTCACCTATTTATTCATATGATGTGTACTGTAGTTGATCAAGGGGCATCCTTTGACTATGACTCTGGCATGGTGACTGTACAGGATTCTGATGCCAAGGATTCATGACCAGACATTGCAGTTGTACACCTTGTCAGAGGAACCATTCAACAACCTACTATTGAATATGTGCAGAGCAAAACAAAGGGAGTTGATGAGATTATGTGATTGAGGACTCTCTTGAGTCAATATGCTGCTAGGGTGGGAATCAAAATCATCCATCAATGTGTGCTCCTCATTGGCGAATTCAAGTGGTCACCTCCACATGCAGATGCTGATATTGTTGGGGTCACCGCCATTTTGGAGATCCTGACAGGAGATGTGCCAGATGCCGACAATGACAATCTTGGGAGGGCAAACACACAATGTGCTACTGCACAATACATTTTCTCATCTACCCTTCGGCTGTGGAGGTCATTGCCATGGCAAGCGCTGGTCCATTCTGGCAATGGGCCACTATCAGGTGAGAGGAGGTTCCTGAATATGAGTGGTTGGAGGGGGTTCCTCTGATGGATAAAAGGAATGAGAAGTTGTGGAACGACTTTGGATGTCAGTTTGGACCTAAGTCCTTCGTTCTGGCAACAGCACTATCCAATGCCGAAATCAACAAAATGTGTGACATCATGTTCAGGCTCATCAATGGATCTCATCAGGAGTATCCACCATTTCCAACTGATTTTAACTTTACCTTGATACCTGATGAACCAAAAGAACAATACCAATACCAGTAGCCTTGACTTCTCAGCTGTCGATATATCATGTACTTTCTTTCAGGCTTGTTTCAGGTGACTCCTTACTACATATATTCTCCTTACTATATTCTCTTTTCTGGACTCTTGTATTCTCATCTTTTCTATGCAGGAGATGCATTGGCATGGACATTGCTGAGTTGATCACTTTCCATCCAAAACCTGACTTAATCCCACTGAATAAGCAGTGTCATCACATGGTCCTCAGCTGCCTCTCGCTGCCTCCAACTCTCATGTAAAGTGACAAGTAGTCCTGGGGTTCGTTATCTGGTTGGTTGGAAGCCATTTTAACAAAAATATTTATTAGGTACTACAGAACATTGATTTTTACACAGTATGTAATTATGGCCTTTTACCTCTCAGTAGCAGTGTTGACACTACTTCCACCAAGCTTTATTTGAAGTAATGTAGGATGTAAACTGGCAATGCACAGTTGGAAAATTTATGTACCAGGTGCGGTGTGATTTCCCAGTCATCAGCGACAGTGTCAGTCACCTAGCATTTGACCACTCAATTTCAGGAGAGTAGACAGCTGCCAGTGAGTGTACCCTAAAATCCATGGTTCACATTGTGGGTCATGTTGTACTTCCCTGTCTGACATGGAAACTCACAAGTGTGCATGCTGACACATGGTGGTGGTGTTTATCCCATGTGGAGAAAAGTGCTTAAGCACTCAAGGTACATGCTTTTCACAGAATGTACTCATAAAGGTAATGCAAATGATAGACTCATACTTGTATCAAGTACTGACAGGGAAATGTTCAGCTAGATTGATTTCGAAGTTTGTTGAGTTCCACTGCTGCTCCAGGCAGCAAGAGATTGACAATAATATCGCCGATGTCGTTACTCATCTCCACAAGGTATTTTGCCTATAGCGTGACTTTCTATTTATGCTACCTCTCATAACTCACATTCAACCAGGCCTTTCAGGAAAATCTTGCTCATCTCAGTCTCATGTAGAGCCTTNTGGATGATGATCTGGAGCTGAGCTGGACCCTTATGACTCCGATGTGCAAACCAAGAAGAAGGAAATGCCAGCACTCACTTTCGCCCACTGAGCAGCATGGGCAGATGGTGAAGCTGAGGCATCGGACAGTGACAGGGATGACAATGAGCTGTATTGTCTGCATCAACACAAATCGGTGGGCAAAGGTGTACAACATTAACCCCCTCCACCTGTTTCACCCATAACTTGCATGAAGATGAAAGTTAACATCCCAAATCAGTCCAACTGACAGTCAACAAGATGGACATCCCTGAATCAGTCCAACCAACAGTCAACAAGATGGACATTGATGATTCCCCTGTTGTCGAACCAGAACCCAGCGCCCCTTCATCACCACCTCCCCCTCCTTCAAACCCTCGATGCTCCATCTGTCTCCACTCCCAAAGCCCAGGCCCATCTTCTGCTTTCATCTCCAGTGTCCACACTGCTAACACCTTAGACGACATTGAGGAGGATGTTGAAAATGGTGATGACAAAATGCCTAGCAGGTCGAGTCCAATTGTGAGTCACCTAGTTCTCCCTCCACTTTGTTTCACAAACATTTCCACAGCTTTTTCGCTTCCTTTGCAGCCAGTGCTGTTATCTGAAGCAATCAGAATGCGCATTTCCAAATGAAAAATAGCAATAAAATAGGGAAAAATCAGAAGAAAAATGGGGGATGGTGCTTACTGTTAGTGATGACATTGGGCACCATTTTCAGGGTCCAGGGCACATTGCCAAATATGATAATGAGGTTGAAGGATTGCCATCATATTGTCAGTGCTGCAGCATTAGGTTTTGACATCATGCACAAGTTGTCTTTCACATTAAGAAAGGACATTCTAAGCCTTTCATATTGATACCTACTGTACTATCTTAAAACATAATTATAAGTTCATGTGGGATATGGCTGAAGGATTGATAGTGTTCGCAGGTCCGGTTCAGTCCGGTTTTTTGCCCTGAAAACAGGCAACTGCAGACCGCAACCGGTCTAGGACCAACCCAGATATTGAGGGAACCGAACCGGACCACCTAGGACCGGTCTTTTGCAGTCCATGGACTTCGTTCAAACCGATTCAGACTGGTCTTTTTGTGTAAAATTTGTCATACCAATATAAACCATTTGTATCTCAATTATTATTACTCTAAAAAATAAACTGGTTATATATCATAGTATAACATATACAGTTGAGTGCAAAAAGAATGAAGGTTGGTTCATTTTTCTGGTTCTTTCTAAGAATCTATTGTACCTCAAATGTATTTGTGTATTCTTTTACATTATGTAGTTGTGTTACACTTCCCTTGGTATGGACTAATTTCAGTGAAAGCTGGAGCCTTGAGAAGGTTTTTATTCTGGAGGCCATTTTTGGCATCTGAAAAAAAAAATATGGGCTAACTGGAGAGGTAGCCAGAACATACCTCTGGTCAACCTGAATGAGCCTATCAAAGAATTAGTCAAAAATACTGAGTGGTTAGGTTTGTAGAGGCTTTGGAAAATGGCATGTTTTGTCTAAAACAGGCCAAAAATGACCAAA